TAATTAGAAATTCACTTGGTCTTGGAAGCATGGTGTGTGTTGTGTGTGTGTGTGTGTGCGCGCGCGTGCACGCACACGTGCACTCATGCGTGCATCTGTGCTGGGGCTTGAACTCAGGGAATGGGCACTATTCCTTAGCTTTTTTGCTGAAGTATCATATTCTGCCATTTGAACCACAGTTCCACTTTTGGTTATTTGCTAATTAACTGGAGACGAAAGTGTCATGGACTCTTTTGCTTGGTCTGGCTTCAAATCATCATTCTCACATTTCAGCCCCTGGGTAGCAAGGGTTATAGGCACAAGCCACCAGCACCTATCAGAACCATGATTTTGATTATCATTGTTTATTAAGTATCTGTGGTATAAACCCTTGCATTTGGTGTTATGGGTAAAGTGAGGGGAAGGAAAGATGGGAAAGAAATGAAAGTACCTTCCTTGATTACAGAGAGAAAATATTTCATTGGAATAGTGTTAGAGTCAATTCTTGGAACCTTAGTGGTCTGGATTATACTATCTTTTAGAGTTGGAGAATGAAGAGACACTTTAGTCATAGGATTTTAAAAAATATTTTGGTCAAGAATCAAATGCAATTTTGAAATATATTTTTGTCCTGGTACTGGCCTGAACTCAGGGCCTGGTTGCTGTCTCTTAACTTTATCACTCAAGGCTGGCACTCTACCAATTGAGCCACAACCCCACTTTCAGCTTTTTGCTGGTTAATTGGAAATAAATGTCTCATGGACTTCCCTACTTTGAACCTCGATCCTCAGATCTCCCTCTTGAATTGAGATTGGATTAAGCTAGGATTGGATTGTAGGCATGTGTTACTGCCACTTGGCTGAAATAATTTATTGAAGGCAGACTCCATGGTACCTTTGTCTTGGAGGAGATTCTGGGATTGTAAGAATATTTTCAAAGAAATACCAGCTAAAACTCATATTTACTAGGTTTGTGTTTAACAGTAAAGCAGAATCTATGTGCATATAAAGCTTGAGAAAGAGGGGATGGCATTCAATGATTTTACTGATTAATGACCACATTGCTATGGCAATTTTATATGCATCATGTGCTATAAATAAGCTTTGGACTGATAAGAACTTGAGGTATTGTCAAGGCCAGTGCTAGCCATGTGAGTATAGTCTTTGAACCAGCAACTTCAGCAGTACCTAGGGGACGATTAGAAATATATATTGACAGGCCTCTTTCCCAGTTCTCTGATTGAGAGCCTGTGTCTTTACAAGCTAAGTGATTTTGGTTTCATTTGACATTTGAGATCAAGACTAGTGCTTTTTTCCTTTTAGTCATAGAAATGAAGGCAGTTGGAAGTCCAGTTAGGAAAAGCATTTAATTAAATGCTAATTTTGTAAGTCTTTTGTGGAGGTAGGGGGGTGGCTGATCCTTTGTTGGATGTTCCTGGGTGGAGATTTTGTAATTCCTCTGGTTTAGATAAGCACAGTATTACTGATCAATAATCTGGGTCCAGCTACTGTTCAACAGCTGAGCACAGAGGAGTTGTGTGAATTTGCTTACATCAGAATTGGGAAACTCATTCTGACAGATTTTGTAGGTCAAATAGATTAATACATGGCCATTAATTCTATTAAAATACAACTGTTCATACTTAAGTATTATGTTTGAAGTAACTTTGGAAAGCTAGTTTAAAAACATCAGTGACACATGTCCTTAAAATGAGATGCTCTAGCTGGGTGTCAGTGGCTCACACCTGTAATCCTAGCTTCTTGGGAGGCTAAGATCTGACGATTGCAGTTCAAACCCAGCCCAGGAAGAAAAGTCTGAGACTTTTATCTCCAGTTAACTATCAAAAAGCCAGAAGTGTGGGGCTGTGGCTCAAGTAGTAGAGTGCTAGCCTTGAGCAAAGAAGCTCAGGGACATTGCCTTAGCACTGAATTCAAGCCCCATGACCAGCATAAAGCAGGGGGGATGGGCAAAATACAGATTATCTATCTCTCTGGTATCTATCAGATATATTTAGAGAGGGGGGGAGGGAGAAAGAGAGAGACCTGATATCTATCATCTATGTGATATAGAGTTATCTATCATCTATCTCTCTGATAAATAGAGAGATATAGTGTCTATCTGATATCTATTTACCTATTTGATATCTATCCTTTATCTGATATATAGAGAGATCTATCTACCTGATATACATTGAGATCTATCTGATGTCTATCATCTATCTATCTGATATACACATGGAAAGATTGTATCTATCTGATATCTACCTGATATCTATTTGATATCTATCATCTATCTGATACACATACTGAGAGATATCTACCATTTATCTAGAATATATATATATATATATAGAGTCTGATATTTATTGCCTCATTTGAGAATCTATTGTGTTATCCAAAAAAATAGATAAGATACCTACCTCCATAGCTGATTAAAATCTTTTTTTTAATTTAATTTTATTTTATTTGTGAACATACTGTACAGAGGGGTTACAATTGCATGGGCAGGATAATGCGTACATTTCTTACCAAGCAAGGATGCTGATTGAAATCTTTGAGTTTATCTTTTCAACCTTAATGTACCAGATAGGTTATAGAAATACCCCAGGTACCTTGTTCCATTCAGATGTGGTCTGGAGTTCTTATTTTATGAGATGAACATATTACATACTGGGGAATGCTTATTAAATGTGGTGTGTGATTCTAGGTCACAAATTAAGATTGAGAAAGGTCTGGGTTTTGCTTGGTGGTAACTTGGCATACTAAAAAGCTACATATGGATGACATGGAATAGTGCCTATTCAGTTCTGCAGAAATTAGCTGTTTGACATCTGTTTTGAACCCCTAGTGTATGTTAGACTTATGCTTTCTCAAGGCATTGCAGCTGAGGGCGTAATAAATTCTTGATGAGAATTTCATGCTCCTAAAACACTGGGATATATGACTTGCTTTATATACCGCTTACTTTAACTTGTTGGAAAAAGGCAGCTGTTGTATAATCATCTAGTGCACTGTAAGCCATTCTAATCATGACTTGACTGACTTACTTCATACTCAAATCCCAGAGAGCCAAACAGAGTCTATTTGACTTGCAGTTTATCTCTTGCTGGTTGGCTGATTGTGATAACCTCTGTGTTAGCCAGCTTTCTGTTACTATAATAAAATATCTGGTATAATCAACTTATTTGGAGGAAGCTTTATTTTCGCTCCCAGTTCTGGAGGTTTGGGTCCATGATTGATTTAGCTCGGTTATTTGGGCCTGTGGTGAGGCAGAGCATTGTGGTCAGGAGTGTATGGTAGACCAATGAGATTCACTTTAGGGGGCCAAAAAAACAAAAGGAAGAAGTATCTAGGGTCTGATGATCACCCTTCAGGTCAAACTCCCAATGCTTTAAAGACTTCTCACTGGACACCACCTCTTAAAGGCTCCACTATCTCTCAGTAACTTCAAGCTGGGGACAAGTCTTTAATATGCAGGCATTTGCAGGACACTTTAGATCCAAACTTGATTCCTCTTGATAGAAGGAAAGCAGCAACTTTTAGCTCAAAAAGTACCCTTGATCTATTTAGCTCCCTCCTATCCCAGTTGCATGGTTCTTCCAATTGCTTACTATGTGAAATAACCAAGATACCCCCATAGACTTCCTTTCTCCCTGAACCCCTGTTTTACTGATGAAAGGCCAACTTTCTTGATGACTTGAATGACATACACACCTGAGCTACAGCCACAAGCCTATCCAGAACTGGTCATGTTTCTGTTCCCCGCTCTCTTACATTATCTTTGTGGATGCAGAATATTTGAAGAGTAAATGATGGCCTCATTAGGTGATATTCAACTCCACTGGATGAATAATCACATAAAGAGTAATTACTGTAATTAGATAGAGAAGTACTTTGTGCAAAGGTTTAGCAGTTTAGAATTTGGGCTAAATAATTTCTGATATTCTAATGGTTGTTTTCATGATATTGTTGGCTGGTTTTCTATTTTGATCAACCACTTCATTATGAATAGGACTGTGTTTGAGAACTGTAGATTTATAGTCATAAATCTCTTCCTGGAGAAGTTGAGGAATCATGAAGTACGGGTATCATTCCTTAATCCCTGGTTGAAATAGTCCCTCTCATTCAGGGGCTACTTTTATCTTTCTCTTCTGCATTATGCTTAAGCATTGTTCAGTTCTTGTAGACTTTCTGCTTCTAGGATTCCTTTTCTGAAATTCTTCTGCCCTGACTGCTCTTCAAATAAAATTCCACCTCTAGGTAGAGGTAAAGAAGTATCCCTTCTTTCCTCTTGGTCTGGCCCTCTTCCTAGACTTTATTTGTGGCCCACCAATTTTCTTTCTCTTCTATATAAGCAGTTTACAGACCAATCCCTTGCCAGTCTTATGTATATGACATATAACAAAGCACAACTGGGTCCTTCCTAGTACTCTAATTTATTGGGAAGACACTCCCAAAGACAAGTGACTAGCTTAATTCCATGCATCATTCAGCAGGACAAATGATTCCTTGAAGGGTTTGTTCATATGGTTCTCAGTGAGCCGGGTGATTGCGAATAGGCTGTGTTTTAAGTTAGTTTGGAGTCGGGTGTTTCATCTGTGAAACTGGCAAACACTTGAAAGCCACAAGCTACTGTTTTCTGAAAGCTTCTTTGCACATGAGCATCAAACGTATGGATTGGATTTGGAGATTATTCAATAACTGCCTTTTGTTTTCTGGTACTGAGACTTGAACTCAAGGCCTGGGCACTGTCCCTTAACTTTTATGTCCAAGGCTACTGCCCTAACACTTGAGCCACAGCTTTCCTTCTGAATTTTTTGGTAGTTTATTGGAGAAAAGAGTCTCAAGGACTTTCCTGCCTAGGCTGTCTTTGAACTACAATCTTCAGATTTCTGCCTCCTGAGTAGCTAGGATTACAGAATGAACCACCAGCACCTGGTAATAAAGCAGCAGAATGTGGAGTGAAATTGTTTACCACTGGAAGGATGTTGATCCTCACCATTTCTCTCCTTTCTCTTACAGAGTGTCTCCTCTGCAAAAGTCTGAGATAGTGGATGTGGTGAAGAAGCGGGTAAAGGCCATCACTCTCGCCATTGGAGATGGTGCCAATGATGTCGGGATGATCCAAACAGCCCATGTGGGTGTAGGGATCAGCGGCAATGAGGGCATGCAGGCCACCAACAACTCGGATTACGCCATTGCACAGGTCAGCCATATGATAACTGGCGGTCATGTGCTAGGCTTCGGAACCTAGTACTTGATCTATAGTTCTGTACCCCACCTTTCTGAGCTAGTGTATTCAGCTTTCCCTGTTGTTTTGATCTTAAGTAGCTCTAAGGCTTCCTCTTGCCAATTGTGTTTGCTTTGGCCAGTAATGGTCAAAGCTGGTCCCACTATTCTGTCATCCAGGTGATGTGTTTGCTTTTCCTGACAGATAGGCATCTGGTCCTGCTAAAATTCTCCTCTCACCCTCTGCTGCATGCTGCTGCTGCTGCTGCTCCTGCTCCTCCTCCTCCTCCTCCTCCCCATCCTCCTCTCCTCCTTCTTTTTCTTTTTTGTGCTTGTTCTGGGGTTTGAACTCAGAGCCTAAACACCATCCCTTAGCTTTTTTGCTCAAGGCTGATGCTCTACCACTTGAATAACACCTCCACTTCTGGATTGTAGGTGGTTAATTTGGAAATGAGAGTCTCACAGACTTTTCTGTTGGGGCTGGCCTTGTACCATGATCCTCAAATCTCAACCTTCTGTGGTAGCTAGGATTATAGGCATGAGCACCAGTGTTCAGTGTCTACTGTTTCTGGTATGTATCTTCTGTTCAGAACAGCTGTGCTTGTAAACCCCATTCTCTACCATGCCCTCCAGGCATCTCCTGGTGCTGACATGTGGTGGTTAGGCATTTAATATCAGGGAAGGGCAGTGATTTATAGTTTTCCTGCCCTCCAGTCATTGTGACTGCCCAGGACCACAGCTGTAAGATGAATTGCTGACAACCTGGGCCAGGGTTGGCACAGGTCTGGCCCCATGGTCAGTAACAAAGTACCTTCTATAGTCTGGCCAAGTCCATTCCATTCTTCTCTGATTTGAGCATTGTGGTTATTGCACAGGTGGTCTGTAGATGTCCTTAAAGACATCTACAGATGAAGAAGAGCCAGCCTTGTGACCCCTTGTGGGACATATCTAAGTTATCTGGCATGTTGATGAGTCAGAAATCTAGACGTCCCAGGGAACACAGAAAATTTCCCCTTATCTTTAGATCACAGTTTTTATGGCTAAATGCATGGTTTTTGGTTGGTTAGGGAGAACTTCCACATAACTTCTTGTTTAGGCTTTTAAAGAATGCAATGACTAGCCAGGTACCCATGGCTCACATGTGTAATCCTAGCTACTCAAGAAGCTAAGCAGGACCAGATGCCTATCTGTCAGGAAAAGCAAACACATCACCTGAATGACAGAATAGTGGGATCAGCTTTGACCATGACTGGCCAAAGCTAAGCTATAAGGATTGTAGTTTAAAGCCAGCCAGGGCAGAAAAATTAGTGAGATTTTTTTAATTTTTTTAAATTTTTTTTTGTCAGTCATAGGGCTTGAACTATAGGCCTGGGCGCTGTCCCTATGCTCTACAGCTCAAGGCAAGTGCTCTACCACTTAAGCCATTGCACCACTTCCAGTTTTCTTGTGGTTAATTGGAGATAAGAGTTTCATGGACTTTCCTGCCTGGGCTGGCTTTGAACTGTGTGCAACCCTCAGATCTCAGTCTCTTGAGTAGCTAGGATTACAGGTGTGAGCCACCAATGCCCAGCTTGTGAGACCTTTTATCTCCAGTTAACTACCCAAGAGCCAGAGTGGAGGTATGGCTGAGGAGACAGATCACCAACCTTGAGCTAAAAAGCTAAGGGACAGCACCCAAGCCCTGAGATCAAGCTGCAGTACTAGCACAAACACACAAAAAAGAATGCATTAGGCATAAACCACATGATTCCAATGAATAGTGGTATTGTTCCTTTTTGAGCTGAAATCAGGGACTACATATAAAATTCAAACAAGCTTTTTGCAGTCCCAAGGCTTGGAGGCCAATCCTGGGAAGCTTGGGATTGTCTATCCCCAAAGGAGGATAACTTCTTATGGTTTTATAAAAATATATTTATTTTTTATTGTAAAGATTCTGTACAGAGGGGTTACAGTTACATGAGTAAGGTAGTAAGTACATTTCCTATGGAACATTGTTACCCCCTCCTTTGTTTTTCCCCTACCATCTCTTCCCTCCCCTCCTCCCCAACTACCCTCCCCCAAGTTGTAAAGTTCAAGATATTGTCTTGTACATCTCATTGTTACAACGGATCAAACTGTATCCTTTTTTCAGCATTTTGTTATTTCTCTTCCTCTCCCCAAATTAGAAAAATGTATATACAAGATGTAGGACACCAGAATCAAATACAGTGAAAACAGGGGTTACATGGGGGAAGAATATACAAAAGAAACAAAAAATTGCATAGTATATTATAAGTACATTAAAAACAACAGCAACAAAGATAAAACCTCTTGTGTCCCTATTTTGGGGTTTATTTCACTTAGCATCAACCTCTTATGTTTAAAAAAAATCCATGGGGCTCTGAAAAGTACATGTAATTAATTTTGTCCCTTGATTGATTTCAAATCCCTAAATCTGCAAAGAAATTCTTGAGGGAGAACAAGAATTCTTGAGGGTGACATTGATCAAGAGGCATATAAATTGAGGTGTTGAGTTGAAATTCCTTTGATGACTATTAAAAGATTTAAAAAAATAAAATAAGCCAGGTGCCAGTGGCTCACACATGTAATCCTGGCTATTCAGGAGACTGAGATCTGAGAATTGGTAGTTGAAACCAGTCCAGGCAGGAAATTCCAGGAGAATCTCTCTTTTTTGTTTTAATTACATGAGCAAGGTAATGAGTACATTTCTTTTTATTTTTCTTATCAAGCATTGTTGTGTCCTCTTTTGCTTCCCCTTACCATCCCTGCCCTCCCTTCCCCTCCATCCCCCCATCTTGTACATCTCATTGTTGCAATGGGTCTACCTGTATCCCTATTTAAACAATTTGTTTTTTCTCTTCTCCACTAATTATACCAACATCAAATACAGTGAAAATAGGGGTTATACTGTGGGGGAGGGACATACAAAGCAACAAAGAAATAATCTTATAAATATGTTAGAAACAATAGCAAGAAAGGAAAAATATTTGAGTCCTTATCTTGGGGTTCATTTCCCTAACATCAACTTATCTGACCGTTTCTGCTTGTCTCAGACATATACTAGTTATTGTAAATAAGGGAAACCATGGGACCTATGTTTCTTTGGGCCTGGCTTACTTCAATTAATATAATTTGTACTCATGGACTTCTAGGAGACTCTTATCTCCAAATAACCAGCATAAGCCAGAAGTGGAGGTATGTCTCAAGTATAGCATAAGGTATGAATGAAAAAGCCAGGGCATGTACGGTACCTGAGTTTAAGCCCAAGACTGGCACACACACAAAAAAGAGAGAAATAAAAAGTTAATTTTTAAAAACATAATTCCTGAAGTAGAAGTTCTAATTTTACAGGTGGGAAAACTGGAGTTTCATTGCATAGAGTGACCTACTTCAGATCCAAGCACATGTTCAAGTTTGTTGAAAGACTATGTGAACTTGGGGACTGCTGCACACACCTGCCCAAGTACTTTCCCTAATACACAGGCCTGTGGGAATCGCATTTCCTGTTAGCCATCAGCAACTGTGGATGTTATACACTCCAGCGTTATTAAATACTTGAGTTATAACATCATGTGGCTACAAAGGATCTTAAGAGGTTTCCTAGGAGTTCCAGGCAAATATTTGCCTGTCCTTTCCTTTAAAATGTCTAGGGAAGGGAGATTCCATGAGTTGCTTTATTGAAAGCTTATACTAATAGAGTATGGGATCTCAGCAATTGTTCTTGTCCAATAGAAAGCATCAAAGAAAGGTGAAAGGTTTTAGAAGTCATTTGGGGGTTTCTCCAGTCTCTCCAGGTTATCACTTCTGCTAAATGAACCAATGGAGACCACATGTCTCCTTTGAATCCAATTTGTCCTGTCCTGTGTCTCTGGACATAATTAGGATGGGATGTTCTTATTTCAGGACTGACTTTGTACTAGCCTTCCCTCCCACCTTCTACCCAACACCAAGCTTCTGGCTTCTTAATTACTATACAAGAAATGTCATGCTTGGATGAATTCCTTTGCCCCAATTAACAAACATCTCTGTCTGCTTTTAGTGTTTGTTTTTTGTTTGTTTATTTGTTTGTTGTGCCAAGACTGGGGCTTGAAATCAGCCTTCCTCACTGCTTTCACTTGTTTGTTTGTTTTTGTTTAAGTCTTGTACTCTACTTCCAACCTTTTGCTGGTTAATTAAGAGATAAGAGTCACTCAGATTTGTCTGCCTTGGCTGGCTTCAAATTGAGATTCATTCTCAAATCTCAGCCTCCTGAGTAGCTAGGATTACAGGAGAGAACCACTATTGCCTGTCTCTTTGAATGTATATGTGTGTGCACATGTGCACAATGTGTTTTGTGCCAGTCCTGAGGCTTGCATTAAGGGCCTGGGAAATGTTCCTGAGCTTTATTTTGCTCTACTAGAGTCACAACTCCACTTCCAGCCTTTTTTGTGGTTAATTTGAAATAGGAATCTCATACAGCTGGCTTTGAACCACAGTCCTCAGGTCTAAGCCTCCTGAGTAGCTAGGATTACAGGTGTGAGCCACCAGTGCCCAGCTCTGTGTGCTTTTTATACATTCAATTTGATGTAGACAAATGCATTTTTTAATGCCACGCCTGGGGCTTGAAATCAGTGCCTGAGCACTGTTCCTGACTTTTTTGTTGTTGTTCTCAAGGCTAGCATTCTATCACTTGAGGCACAGCTCCAGTTCTGGCTTTTTGGTGATTAGAGACAAGAATCTCATGGACTTTCCTGCCCAGGGTGCCTTTGAACTGTGATCTTCAGATCTTACTTTTCTGAGTTGCTAGGACTACAGTCGTGAGACTCTTGCACCTGGCTAAGAAATGCATTTTTTATTGCATTTATGAGTATGCACTCTGTAAGCAAATGGATATATACTTCAAAGACTTGCTCCAGAAACTTAGGGAATTCTGGTTTTACTTATGTGTGCTGCCTTCCCTGGGCTTTCACACACAGAGGGAACCCCAGGCCTGTCCTTGAGGCTTCTTTTGCTGCCTTGACCTGATCAATGTGGACTGCATGGTGGTGTAATGGTGTGCCTGCAGCCCTGAGCTTCCTGTCCTTCTCCCAGTGAATCATGTCTGCCCCCTGCCTTCTTAATGTTCCCTGAATGGCCTTTTGAAGACAGCATTTTGATTTAGGATGTGTTCTTTTTTTATTTTTCCTGGAAACAAATTATTGTAGTGCTCAGGTTGTAGCTTTCAGGATGACTGAAGCAGATGTTCTTGGTGCCCATTGATATTTAACACCAGGGCATCCAGGTCAAATGCAAACTTCCTTTATATTTGTTTAGCTAGTTATTTTTATGATCCCTCATTCCCCTTTGGAATCTTTAATGAGCTTTTATGGGGAGGTTTGTTTTTCCATATATACTCACTGTCATTTTTAACTTGCTCTCTAGATTCAGAGTGTGGGGATGAATGGCTGTGCCTTCCTTGATTAGAAAGAACTTGATATGTACCTTTACCCGGGACATAATTCTTCTGTGCTAATGGGGATTAATGTATAATTTCCTCTTGCAAAGAAATGTTTTTTGAAACATAGCAGGTTTCACCCTGAGTAGCTAGGATTACAGGAAAGAGCCACAGGCACCTGGACATGTGTTCTGTTATTTTTTGTTGTTGTTGTTTTTAAAGGCACTATTGCATGAGCATCCCCATCCCTGTCCCTTCATCCTGTAGTTACCATAAAATCTGTGATTGGATTATTTAGTCAGATGGCTTCTCTCTCTTCCTCTCTTTCTTTCTCCTTTCCTTCCCTCCTTCCCTTCTGTCCTTCCTTCCTTTCTTTCTCTTTCTTTCTGTCTCTCAGTCTGTCTGTTTCTCCCTCCCTTCCTTCCCTCTTTCCTTCCTTCTTTCCTTCCTCCCTCCCTTCTTTCCTTCCTTCTTGCCTTCCTTCCTTCCTCCTTCCTTCCTTCCTTTCCTTCCTTTGTCCCTTCTTTCTTTCCTTCTGTGTCTCACAGACTTTCCTGTTTGGCCTGGCTTCAAACTGCAATCCTCATATCTCAGCCTCATGAGTAGCCAGGATTATAGGCATGAGCCGCTGGTGCCTTATTGTGTGTGTGTGTGTGTGTGTGTGTGTGTGTGTGTGTGTGTGTGTGTGTGTGTGCACACGCCAATCCTGGGCATTCAATCAGGGCCTGAGTGCTATTCATGAGCTTTTTGGCTCAAGGCTAATGCTCTACCAATTGAGCCACAACTCCATTTCCTGCTTTTTGGTTAGTTAATTGGAGATACAATTCTCATAGGCTTTCTTGTTTGGTCTGGCTTCAAATCTTGATCCTCAGATCTCAGCTAGATTACAGGCATGAGCCACTAGCACCCAGCTTGGTCACCTTCTTATAATATGTGAAAAGCATTAGCTTAAATGGCAATGAGAACAGAGACTTATTATTGCAAAGTTATTATCTAGCCAATTCAAGAGATTTTCCTTGTTCTCAATATCCTGAAAGTTTCTCCTATAGGAATAGTTTCCATGGGTTACCTCCAGGATTTACTTTTCTCTCCCTGCCTTCTGTTTTCTACTTATCAGAACATTTAGTACCTTTAAAAAAAAAAAAACAAAACACCAGTCCTAGAGTTTTTACTCAGGGTCCGGGTACTGTCCCTTCACTTCTTTTGCTCAAAGATAGCCTTCTACCTCTTTAGCCACAGCTCCACTTATTGCTTTTTTGGTAGTTTATTGAAGATAAGAGTCTCACAGGTTTTCCTGCTCAGACTGGTTTTGATCCATGATCCTCAGATCTCAGCCTCATGAGTAGCTAGGAGTATAGGTGTGGCGCCTGGCCTTTTAATATCTTTTCTTTCCTCACAGTCTCTTCTGAACTTTGTTGCTCTTGCTTTTCAGTTTTCCTACCTGGAGAAACTTCTTTTGGTCCATGGAGCCTGGAGCTACAACCGGGTGACCAAGTGCATACTATACTGTTTCTATAAGAATGTGGTCCTCTACATCATTGAGGTAATAAAGGGGTGCTTTTTAGCTCGGGGGTGGGGTGGATAGGCTTTTCCAACTGGGGACATTAAACAAACAAGGGTATTATTAATGCAAAAGCAAAAAGTGTTGGAACTTACTAAAATCTGAGTCATGCAGCCTCCTTTGGAGCGGATTCTTCATTCCCAGATCCTTATGTGGAATATCAAAGCCTTTTTTCCATGCCCAGCATGCCTTCCTGGCTCTGCCTTGCTCTGCTTTCTCCCTACTGGTCCTAGAAGGCTTCTTCCCCTGCCTCTGTCTGTGCTGTGGTGAAATGTCACTGCTATTCATGAGATCCTCTTCCAAGGATGGTGTCAGATCAACCAGTGTGATTAGCACTACAACCAGACTTTCTTGGATGTGGAGACATGAGCCTGGTTTCTGCAGTCTCTTTCTTTTCTTTCTTTTCTCTCTTTCTTTTCTCTCTCTCTTCCTCCCTTCCTTCCTTCCTTCCTTCCTTCCT